ACGGTCACCAGATTACATTATATCTCACCTAGACATTCCAAGACCCGACAAACACCGATTCAACATGTTCAATAAATGCCGACCCACTGGCAGTAGATGCCAACAGGGATAACACACTGATCCGACAAAACCAGACAAATTTGTCTGTTGCCGTTTGTCTGTGTCTGTCGGTGCGGCGTGAATTGGCTAGTGTGAATGTGCAACATTTGCCAGACTAGATCTTTACCCAGTAGATCACCCCTTGTCTAACAGAGCCAGACTTTGGACACTTGGCCTCCACTTTGCAGTTTATTCTTGCAAGGAACCGCTGGTTTAGACATGTCTGAACAAGATGCAAAGCATCCAACAGGTTGTTTGGAAATTGAGAGACAGTGCATTAGTAGGGTGTTCAATAATCAAATTATCAGTAAAATGCACTGATAACAAAAAAAGTTTAAGGAAATTGCTGTTTTTATATGGTAGCGTAATACCCAGTGATCAGAAATGCAATTTATCCACTAAAGATTGCATTGAGTCAGAATATTTCCCCACCATTATCAATATCCTGGGCCGTATCGTCTCTAATATTGTGTGAAATTGCTTGAGCTCAGTGTTGAGGAGGGAGAAAAGGCGAATAAAGCCAGCCATTAGGATTAAGTGGTCTGAGAGAGATAGCTTTATGAGAGAGGAGAGAGAAGGCCAAATCAATACGGCTGTCACGGTGGACAAGGGCCTTCATTGTGGGGTCTGCACACACTTTCTTGACTTCAACTTGCATCATATATCACTCACCCTATAGGTGTAGTGTGGCACACATCGAAGGAGACATATATTATTCAGTTTTATTACAAATCAGCAGGGAAGTATCACTTCAATGATAATAAATTTGTGCTATTTTGACTTCATTTTGTTCATCATTCTTTGTGGCATCAAGTTTAAAGGCCTATTTTAGTCAGTGTTAGTGTTGCTGCTGTTGTTGGGGGGGGGGATCTCTTGAGGAATCTCAGAGAACATAGAGGAAACACCAACTCTTTCACCTCTTGGTTTTCCTTGTCTGTCTTGTAAAATTGTCTCTGTTGCATGCTTTTTGTGCTATTTGCATCATCTGAGTCCCAGGCCAGTTGCCAAATGCACTTGTGTCATCTCGCTTATAAACTGGGGAACGGATGCCTCATGCAATAATAATAGAGATTAAAGTAGTGCCAGACGCTGCATGTGTACAATATGGAGGACAAGAATCACTTTTACTTAAGGATTTTTGAACTTCCTAATCCTGAGTATTAAAATTCAGGGCATCACTTGTCTTAAACCATTTGAGCTACAGCAAGTATGATACCTCTAATCGTGTGGCTTGTTGAGGAGAGGTGAGCTATTACATTTCTAAGAATGATACAACAGTTGAATAAATTAAACTGAAGGAGGGACCAGAGCCACGGGACCATTTTGTGTCAATGTCACAAAAAACCAAACTAGCCTAAATTAAAAAAAAATTTAAAAAGTCAAGCTCACTGAGGACACGTAAACAGTCAGTGATTAAATAAGAATAAAAAACTAATTACATGTAATAGGACAAGTAACTACATTAGAACAAATAAATAAGAAATGTTACATACATTGTATAAAGTAATCAAATGTATAAAAACACTGCATATTCTTCACTGTGTAAATTAAATATATATTTATTCTTATTCAAGTTACAAAAGTGATTTAGTCAAGAGCAGTGAAGAGATTTTCTCTCTTTTGTTGTCTGATTAACATGAATGACAGACAGCAGGAATATTAGACTGCTGTCACTTTAAGACCTGCTCAGATCCAATAGACTTTTACACACGTGTTTTCTTTCTCAGCTGTTTGCTTTCACTGAAGACCTAAATTACTGTGTTTACAAGGATACTTGCAAAGACGGACATTTTGACACATACAAGTGTGTATATTTAACTGTTCAAGGCCTATAAAGTGGCAAAAATAACTTCAGCGCTCTATGAGCATCGTTTTCATGTACGAAATTAGTTCTCTTTCACTGTTGACTGCGTTTCAATGGTTTTTAATCCGCAATGCTTAAAAATGCATGCAAACTATGTTTTTGTGACCACGTAGCAAAGCAACGTCACGTGAGCATGTAATAACCGCAATAGAGACGTTAGTCCAAAATCTCTACCGGTGGACAAATGTCTACCAGTTAATCTTGTCTACTGGTATAACACCCACCTCTGTCTATAGTGTTAAGATGCATTTTGTTTGATCCCATAACGAGTTGCTGTTTATACCTGGTAGTAATATGAATCTCAAATGTGGCTTCTCTGACCATTTGTGATCGGATTTCAAGCAAAGGGTGTCCGATCTACTTAAAGCATCCTAAATGCATGAGCACCTGCAGCACGGCTAGAGCTGATGCAGTATACTGTGACATCCTGCCTCTATACACATGTGACTATCAATTATTCATAGTGAGAGAGAAATCAAGCACCTGGGTTAATTTAACACCCAGACGGCCCCTGCCTGTAATCGCTTCAGACAGCCAGCATATGACACTTATCCACTGAGAATGTGTGTGCGTGTAAGAGGATGTGAATGAAATATCATGACTTTTTTTATTTGTTTTGTTGGCTTCATAGGACATTTGTTCTGCAATCGACTGAGACTAAGTGTATACAGTATGCAAATTTAATGAATCGGCCTGGGCTCTTAAAAATAATCTTGTTTTATTGGCATTGATGATTCCATGAAGAATCTTTAGGTATTCATGAAATCTTTCCATTAAACATTTCTTTATAGCGTTAAAAAAATATATTTTAGATTATTAAACTGTTCTTTAGGGTAAGAGAAAAAAAATTATTTTAAGAACTGTTCACAGAAAGGCCCTTTGGGGAACCAAAGATGCTTTTTATATGGCATTGTTGCAAAAACTCCCTTTTGGAACTTTTTTTATTTTTTTATTTTTTATGAGTATGCATGCTCATTTATCATATTTTTATATTTAGATCAGCTTTGCTGTCATTAAACAGTCATTTAGAGTTCATCTTTAAAAACACTAGTAATTTAATAACACTATTTAATCTTTAGTAAATATAAAAATATAAATGTTTCATATTGTATATTATAGTGTTGTGACGCATATTCATGTGTAACAATTAAAATAGATGATTTTTAGTTTTAAGAGTTTTGGGGGGTTTTTATTTATAGAAATATTTTTACATTTTACTTCAACCATTTATCAGTTATCGGCCAAAACATTAAAATAATTATTAGTATTGCCCAGAATTTTACTATTAGTGTATCCCTAGTTTTAACTGTCTAACAATTCTGTCAGCATGCATTCTGCTTGGAAAAATAAATAAATAAAAATCTAATCTGACTGTAATGATGACCCATCCCTATTTTGAATTAAATCAGTCATTCTCATACTGATCTGAAATAATAATAATAAAAAAAGTCCTCAAATCTAAAATTATTCCACACACACTTAAAAAAAGAAACTGATATTCTTAGCACTCTTATTAAATATGACTTGTGCAAGCATGTGGTGGGGCACTTCAGGAATTGTCGGCTGTCAGGCGATGGAGGGTCTGTCTTAAGCACAGTATTTGCTGACAAAACGCAGCGTGTCTTTGAAAAGAGAAGCAAGCGGAGAGAGAATAGCTGCAGAGTTACAGACTCTTTCAGAAATCTGCACAGCTAGTCTGTTTTTTAGAGGCTTGGGAGCCCATATTCCTCAGCCTGGACTGGAGAAATAATACAATAATAGATACAATACAATAATAGATAGTAATGCTTCTAAAGGAAAATTACAGGTCAAAGTCCACATGAAATTTTACCCTTTGTACCTTTGTAGTACACACATTGTGGAAAAAATGTCTTTTGTAATACATTTTTGTAAAGCTATTTTGTTAAAATAACTTGATCTGCACTAAACCAAGCTTCTTTTTTAGCTGATGTCATACAGTAATATGGATTATTTGTGGCATCTTCTTGACTCGTTAAAGACCATAATATGAAGACAATCATGCATCTATTGTTGCACAAGAGTTCATTAAGTGATTTCGCTGTCTTCATGTTCCTTCTAGTGATCTTGAGGGACCAGCATGTATTTTTTTACCATCTTACTGTAATGTTGCTCAACTCTGATGCCGTAGCTCCCCCTACTGTACTGATAATTGAACGCTTGTGTATATTTATTAATGTAAAAGACAATAGAATAACTCTAGAGTAGTGTGTTATTTTTTTTTATCTTGTTTTATTTTTTATATTTAGTTACATTTATTTTTATATTATTTCATATATTACTGAAAAATATATATTTGCTCAGTCCTGATTCCCTCTTTAATTGCATATTTCTGTCTGAATGGTTTCATATCTTCAAATGACATTTCAGCCTAAAAAAAGCACAAAGTATAGTTTTGATAGTCAAACGTTATTTCATTTATGTAATTGGAAAAACCCATGTGAAAGTAATTGCCCCCCTTAGGCTTGAAACAAAGAAAATGGTTACATTTAGTTGGTAATTAGTTTTAGGAGACTGAACACAGACAGGCCTAATATTTTGTGTTAAATTGCCATTTTATAGGTACAGGTACATAATGCTGTATTAAAGGAATTTCCCAGAACAGCTGAGGGGAAAGTTGAGATATATCAATTTGGAGAGGGTTGCAAAGCCATTTCTGAGGTTCTTGACAGGCATGAGTTCTGCTGTATACTATAGACTATTCTGAAGGAGAATGTCCGAATATCTGTACTCGGGATTAAGTGTAATTGGTTGATGCTAGACAATAATCCAAAACATGGATGCATTACTATGTCTGAATGGCTAAGAAGAAACCATTTTTGGAAAATGTTTTGCAGTTATATTGTTAAAGTTCTGCCTTAAATCCTGTTGTGAAATGAGCAGTTTGGACTTGAAGGCCTACTAAAAACAGTTCTTCAAGGCAACTTGAACTGCAATTTCTAGGTTCATCAGTTTTTAGAATTGAAAAAGCTAATGTTGTAATGAAAACATCCTTCCTTCTGTTTGTGTTTGCGTTCAGCCAGGCACGTTCCTGTGTTTCTACAATCTCCATGCGCTCCTTCAGAGAGCCCCGGACCAGCTGCCAGATCAGCTTGAACACCTCAGTTTCCACCTCCATGGGGGGACGTCATATGGACGAGGTTTACGCAGCCTTCCTGCAGAGAGCCCTGCTCTACAGTCCTTCAAGAGGTGAGACTAGAGACCACAATCTCTGTTTTGCATTTTCTTTCCATTGCCAAATATTTTGTCGGAATCTTAAAATGTTATGTCATTAATGTTACTTCGTTTTAAAAAAATGTTTTATAATCTTAATTAGATTTTAAATCCCCAATGTGTACTCAGATGTTTGGACTCAGCATGTATATATCGCTGTATAAATCTCATTGTCATTTTGAACAGTAGAGTGTGTATGTACACACAAACACACACAAACACTACCATTCAAAAGTTTGGGTTTGGTAAGATTTTTTTTCTCTGTTTTAAAAGAAGCCTCTTATGCTCATCAAGATGGCATTCATTTTAAAATGTAATTTATTCCTGTGATCAAAGTTGAATTTTCAGCATCACGTTCCATACGTAATTATTCATTATTCCAGTCTTCTGTGTGACATGACCCTTCAGAAATCAGTCTAATGTATTTACCGTCACTTTTGACTAATTGAATGCATCTTGCTGAATAAAGGTATTCATTTCTTTTCATACTGATAAACTTTTGAACAGTAGTGTGTGTGTGTTTGTGTGTGTGTGTAATATAATATAATATATACAGTCGGCACATATAGGAATTTGCTGAAGTCATGAGCATTATGATGGCAATATAATTGAGACGCCCTGTAAGTCAAAATCATTTCCATTAAAAAAATTACTTCTGTGGCCCCTTAGCTGTCTATCTGACATTTATGTGATCGTGTGTCTCTCTTGTTTCTCGCTTGCTCTCATTCTCTCTCTCTCTCTCTATACTGATCCTTATTCAGTGTGCTAGAGAAACATGTGGACCTGGATGAGTATGATGAAGTGAACGATGGCACGTTACTGGAGATTTGGTACACGCCGCCAGAGGCTGTAGGTTGGTGGCGCCTCTTTTGTTTTCCAATTTCTGTCCAATTTTGTGTCATGCTCAGCTCGCCCTCATCTGTATATGCTTATGTTTCCTTCTAGTCTTGCCAAATGATGATGAAACAGGTATAGATATATATTACCAAGTTTAAGATCTTCTCAAAGCCTTTTCTGAAACGGATGAATAAAAAGGTAAACAGCTTGAATGATTAAATAATGTTGTTGTCATTCCAGATGCAGAAGCAGATACAGGACCTTCTTATACAGGTAAAAACCAGTCACGTCTTACTCTACAGTAAAAATTAAAAGTAAATCCACAATATTGGATTAATATTTGGAGAAACGGCATTGGAAATGTGCACATGCAAACCACTAAGCCACAGCTCTGACAAACTCTAATGTAAATGCTGATATGTCTATAATGATTGTTCAGTGCGGACGTGTGAGCACAACATGCGAAGGCTCACACTCGCCCGGGTGAAGCGCTCCACGTCGCCGCTGTTGTGCCACGTCCGAGCCCGGGTGAAGAAGTACAATCCTCAGCAGTTATACCAGTGCCTGAAACTCTTCTGCTCCAACTGCAAAACAATGTGAGTCTGACACTTTACACAACCCACTCTTGGCTCTCATTTTGTCTTATTTTGAAGTTTTGTAATATTGGTTATTGTATACCTGTTTAATACATAATTGTACCATTGTAATTTATTATTTTAAGATATAAATCACTGTCGGTGCCGATAGCCTTACGGGCAGTGCACTGACATGTAGTGCCGTTACACTATGGGTGTCCCGAGTTTGAATCCTGGCTCGGGACCTTTCCTGATCCTTCCTCGCTCTCTCCCCCACTTCACTTCCTGCCACTTCTACACTGTCCTATATTAATAAAGTAAAAAAATTCAGAAAATAAATATTTTTTAAAAATACATTTAATTGTTTTTAAATTTGTTAATTTTTTTTTTTTTTGGTGATGTGTACTGGTTCATGGACATTTTGAACTTGGAAAAGAAGTTCCTGGAATAGCATTATATTTGGTGTTTCACTCTTGAGGAGCAGACTTGAGCTTCAAATTTATTGTTCTAGATTTGCTGTATGTTCTGTTTGCCACCTGGTGGTTGTTTAGTGCAATAAAATTGCAAAAGAATAATTTTTTTAACTTTGTATATCACAATCCTAATAAATAAGCCTTTTCCTTTTTACATTTACACTAGCATTCAAAAATGTGTTATCAGTAAGTTTTTATTATTTATTGTCAGTTTCAGTTTCTCAGGGGATGTTCCCATTGGCTTGGAAGTCATCTGTTATTGTGCCTATATTCAAAAGTGGAGATGTTCATTCTGCTAGTAATTACAGACCTATTAGTATTTTACCTATTGTCTCAAAGGTTGCAGAGAAATTGATGGCTGCACAAATCACTAATTATTTAAATACCGGTTCATTTGCTTTACATTCAATGCAGTTTGGCTTCAGAGCAAACTATTCAACTGAGATGGCAAACTGTTACTTCACTGAAAAAGTTAAGTCTCTATTAGACAAAGGAGGGGTTGTTGGAGTGGTGTTTCTTGACCTCAGGAAGGCTTTTGACACCGTAAACCACAAAATTCTTGTCTAAATTATTAGGTTTTAATTTTTCTCAAGAGACTTCAAGATAGATTGAGTCATATTTGTCAGGTCGCACACAGTATGTCAGAATACAGAATTATAAGTCAGCTCCCATAAGTATATCCACAGGTGTTCCCCAAGGATCTATTTTGGGTCCATTGCTTTTCACGTTGTATATCAATGATCTTCCATCCGTCTGTCCCAACACTAACATCCAAATGTATGCGGACGACAGTTATTTATATACACAGAAGCAGTGTGTCACAAGTTGCAAATGAACTTACAGAATCCTTGGCTCATGTCACAACTTGGCTAGAACAATGCTGTTTACAGTTAAACATCTCTAAAACAGTGTGTATGTTTTTTTACCAAAACTAATAGTTCAAGTGTAGTGCCAGATGTTTTTGTATCAGGGGAAAGGCTACAAGTAGTATTTGAATATAAGTACCTCTGTGTTGTGATTGATTCCAGACTTTCAGTTAAGGCTCGTGTTAAAAAGGTCTGTAACCGGGTCAAATTTAGTCTGTTAAACTTTAGATTTATTTGTGATTATATGTCATCAGAGGCCGCTTTGATGTATGTGCATTCTATGATTATTTCTCATATCACTTATTGTTTAACAACTTGGTCGCAAGCTAGTATAACTACTCTGAAACTACTCTGAGTCTTTGTATAACAATCACCAAAAACTCTTGGTAAGAAATCAGTTCAGTTTCATCATTGCTCAATACTAAAAAAAATGTATTCGCTAAGCTGGGATAACCTGATCAAATATGTAGATATTTGTCTAATGTTTAAGACTATACATAGTATAGTACTTCACCGTTAAAACAGTTTGTGAATATTAGAACAACTGCTCATCAGTCCACAAGGGGTGGGTAAAGGGGACTGTATTATTCCACTCAGAAAATGTCAATTTAGTAAGTCTATATTCTCAGTCAAAGCTGCAAGGGACTGGAACTCAATTCCATAAATAATTAGAAGACTGGATACATATGGTTCTTTTCAATTTCGTATTAAAAAATGGTTGCTGAAACCTCAGGACTGTCAACATTAGTATTGTATTCTTAATTTTAGACTTCTCTGTACTAATTGCTCTTGGTTATTAGCTTTCTCCTGTCGCTACCGCTCTCTCTCTCTCTCTTTTTCCTTATATTTTATTTTGTTTTGATAACTTATTGTGTTTTACTTCGATTTTTATGTGCAATTATGTATTTGTATTTTTTAGCATTCTCTTCTTTGTTGGTTGTAATATGTGTCAAAGATGCTCTGTTTTGTTTTTAGGGTGACTTTTTTTTTTAAACAATCTATCAAGGGTCTACAGATGAAAAATAGCCTCTTTGGCTAATTCTGGCACATTTACAGCCATGTGCATTGCCCCTGTAAACAAATAAACTAAACTATTTATTTATGGTTTTTTTTCAGTATTTATTTATCTATTCAGCAATGATGTATTAAGGACATTTATAATGTTACAAAAGATTTCTATTTCAAATAAATTCTGTATTTCATATTCATGAAATAATCCTGAAAAAAATGTCCACAAAAATATTAAGCAGCTCAACTGTTTTCAACATTGATAATAATAAATGTTTTTGAGCGCCAGATCAGCATATTTGAATGATTTCTGAAGGATCATGTGACACTGAAGACTGGAGAAAATTCAGCTTTGCATCACAGAAATAAATTACGTTTTAAAATGTATTCAAATAGAAAACTGTTATTAATTCATATTATTAAATGAATGCCACCTTATTGGGACAATAAAGCCGTCCCTACACCTACCCTAACCCTACCCAATACTTCATTTTCAACTTCTTGATTATTTCCTTTATTTTTATTGAAAATAAATGCCTTTCCAATGTGATATGAGGTTTGAAAAGGGAGGGAAAAAAGTTTGGCAAAAGGCGGGTTCGCACCCGGGGCGATCGTGTCAAAAACACTACGGTATGCACTTTACCATCGACGCCACTAGAGCTGTCTTTTGTAGTCTTGACTAGTCCAATCAGACGTTGGTGGGCGGAGTTAGTGTAAATAGACGCACTGTATTTTTTTGCAGGTGTATTTTCAAAAAAGCTGACCCAGGCATAACTGTAATTTTAACTTTTTTTGTTGTTGTTGTTGTTGTTGTTGTTTTCTTTTATCTCATGTGATGTCCCAGTTGGCCTAAAAAAAATGTGGACACTTCAGCCACTCTTGAAAATGTATGACTGTATATTTAGACAGTTCATCGGTGTCTCTGTCACACAGCTCTGGGAGTTCAGCTAATGCAGTACAGATTGTTAATCCAGTTTGAACTGGAGGACCAGACCGACACATTAGAGGCTCTGCTGTGGGAAAACGCTGTGAGTGTACATATAGCAATGCCATTTGATTACATTTCTAAGTTAATTACAGATATTTATGTTGCGTGTAAACATTGTGAATATAGATTTTTTGTTGTACTGCAAAACAGGATGCGTTTTCAGAAGAACTGCTATTATTATTATTTCTAAAAGCAAAAACATTTGAAGTTAAAATCTTGCAAAAAGAGTAGAAATGCTGCATGCAGAGGGCGCTGTTTTTTTAATTCAGAAATAGGTTTGAGTGATTGTCTCATTCTTTACAGGAGAGGTTCTTCCATGTTTCTGCTGTAGATGCTTCAGGCAGTCAGGATTTGCAGGACAAGATTCAGACCATCATGGACACAATTCAACCACCAGACAGCAGTTTGGGTAAAGATTTCATTTCCTATGAATATTTTCTCGAAATTCCTACATTTAGCGTACGATAATGTTGTTTTTTTCTCTGTACTGTCTTTGTAGAGGAGCGTCCATGGCTGGATCTTTGTGTCTCTGTCTACACTGTAAAGGACAACGACAGAAATAGAGTTTGCTATCAGATCACTAACACCGAAATTAAAGAAGAATAGAGAAGTTATGGACATTTTGATTAAAAGTAAAGAAATCATACATGACCACCTGTGATGAACAAGAAAAAAGGGCCAGGAATATTTTGTGTTAAGAAATGTAAATACATTATGATCAAACGCAATCCATAAATTCATATTGTAAAATAAAACATTTTTAATACATCTGTTCAGTCTTTTCTGCAGAATTCCCAGTTAGAAACTTGAAAAGTAATGGGCTAGTTCTGTATAGAGTATATAGAAAAACTCTTTTCTGCTTGGTTTGCTTAGACATGTATGTGTCATTATTTAACAAGCCAAGTGAAGATAACTGAGCATCGACAGCAGGGGGTTGTTGCTGGAAACACACTGCAGTTCTGTTTCAGTCCGCTAGGTGGCGCATTCACTGTATTGCATCTGTGAAAGCGGCGCCTCCCTGACAGAGCTTCATATCGCGGAGCTGCACCAGGAGCCCATGACCGGCACTCAAGGACTTTCACTTTATCGAGATGCTGGATGCTCTTGGCCTTGGCGTGTATATTGTTCCTCATACGAATCGCTAGGAAATATTTCAGAGGTTCCAGGGCTTCAATTAGTCTTTAATTGTTTGGTTAATCCCCTGTTTGACGATGAACAAGAAAAAAGGGTTTGCCAGGAATATTTTGTGTTAAGAAATGTAAATACATTATGATCAAACGCAATCCATAAATTCATATTGTAAAATAAAACATCTTTAATACATCTGGTCAGTCTTTTCTGCAGAATTCCCAGTTAGAAACTTGAAAAGTAATGGGCTAGTTCTGTATAGAGTATATAGAAAAACTCTTTTCTGCTTGGTTTGCTTAGACATGTATGTGTCATTATTTAACAAGCCAAGTGAAGATAACTGAGCATCGACAGCAGGGGGTTGTTGCTGGAAACACACTGCAGTTCTGTTTCAGTCCGCTAGGTGGCGCATTCACTGTATTGCATCTGTGAAAGCGGCGCCTCCCTGACAGAGCTTCATATCGCGGAGCTGCACCAGGAGCCCATGACCGGCACTCAAGGACTTTCACTTTATCGAGATGCTGGATGCTCTTGGCCTTGGCGTGTATATTGTTCCTCATACGAATCGCTAGGAAATATTTCAGAGGTTCCAGGGCTTCAATTAGTCTTTAATTGTTTGGTTAATCACCTGTTTGACCAAGTATTTATTTTTATTTTTTTCCACACAGTTCTGCTGTTATAATATCGCTCCTGGGATTTAAAAATGGAAACTGGAGATGCTTATCTAAACGAGAGACCAGCGAACGGAACGAAGCTTGATGTTTGCCCTACAACTTTGCCTTAAAAATACTGGAATTGTCCGATTTGGATATTTTTGAGGGATATACGCAATGGAAATGCAATTTTTAACTGTCTTTTGTTTGCTCGTTTGTTGTGAACTCTCAGTAGTTCTCGCGCGTAGCAATAACACGGCAGATTTAACGTCAAAAATCGTTTCATCCTATAAAGTGCGTGAAATCAATACAGACAGCCGTGAACGACGTGTAACTTTAAATAAGATCAGTTATGAAACGGGTAAGGAGCCTAAAGATGTGCTTTCATCGAGCAGGACTACTATAAACTTAATGCCGGTGAATGGGAGCGATAACACAACGGTGAGAGCATCTTCTAGGCAAAAGTACGAAATAAATGATCAAATGGACAAATATAACAAAACAAAATCATTTCTGAAGGAAACACACGGCGAAATTAGCGTTAAAAGGCGTTTTCGTCGACAGGATAGAGTTACGGTCGTTAACGATGAGCCTGACAGGAATCCAACCATCAAATCTCAAGATAATGAACTTGAACGCGTGGAGTCATTGCCTAAACCTGTAGCACAGATCCAGCCTACTGACTTTCCCACTGAGTTCACGTCTATCCCTGAATGGGACACCTCACCTGTGGAGGACTTTGAGGAAGTCTTCACCCCGTTCATTCCCTTTAATACACGGTCAAAGACTCCAGGGGTGAAGAACCCGTTTTACCCTGTGACAGGTGAATCGTACGGTGCATATGCTGTCATGTGCATCTCCATCCTCATTTTCACTGTGGGAATTGTTGGGAATGTTGCAATCATGTGCATAGTGTGCCACAATTACTACATGAGAAGCATTTCAAACTCCTTGCTGGCCAACCTCGCCCTGTGACAGGTGAATCGTACGGTGCATATGCTGTCATGTGCATCTCCATCCTCATTTTCACTGTGGGAATTGTTGGGAATGTTGCAATCATGTGCATAGTGTGCCACAATTACTACATGAGAAGCATTTCAAACTCCTTGCTGGCCAACCTCGCCCTGTGGGATTTTGTCATCCTCTTTTTCTGCTTGCCACTTGTTATATTCCATGAACTCACTAAGGATTGGCTCCTTGGGGAATTCTCCTGTAAAATCATTCCATACATTGAGGTAAAATTGCGGTTGGTCACTTTTAATGGATGATTGAAATGCAGTTTGTGTTTCAAATGTGTTATATTCTTGGTATTATGCCTACTATTTCAAAATGAGTATGTTAATGGTAAGATGTATTGATACTAAAACTATAGGCTATACTGTATTAGTAATATAGGATGTCAGTTTGGATAAAAAAAGTTAATATGGAACCATGCTTGATCACATACTGTACATCACATACTTGAATGTTTTCATGCCATTCCATCTCTTGTGCTTTAACGCAGCCTAAGTAGGTCCCGCTGTATGGTGTAAGGTGAACCTTAGGACTTTCTTGGGTCAGACTGATGATTGAGTGGGCCGGGCCTGGTTTCAGGATTGAGCTTGACTTTTATTCTAGCAGGTTCTCAAAGATAATCACACTTTCACACATGAAGCTGGTTAAACTGTAGTAAAGTTGCTGGTTTCCCATTTCAGGTGAATGCAGCACATCTGATATTCACACGTCATTCGTCATTTTATCTGTGTCGGCATTTATTCCGTATCAGCATTAAAAATGATACGACTTGATGTTGTTTGAATCTGAAATGCCACAAAAAGTGTTTCTTTATGCCAGAAACACTTAGCAATTGTCTGTTGGTAACAAAGCTGAGTACTCAAGGGAAGTGTTACATTTTCCTTCAAATGTCAGTTCTACTAAACCATAAGTGTTATTAGTCAAGTTGCTATATACCTATTGACTTAAACAAACTTTCTTAGTAAGATTTTTGTCAAACTGTTCATCCTTCAAGACAGTTGTTGACCCAAAAGAGGAACTGACTGTAAAAGACGATATTTACACCTATTGCACCTTTTGTGGCAACATTGAGATTGCAGAATATTTTGCATTGTGTTATTTCAATCAACCTTCTGGGTTCACGTACTGACGTAAAAAGCTGCACCATTCCGTGTCTGTCCAATTTCACACAATGTAAGATTTCTGGATTTTTGCTTCAACTACTTTGTGATTCGGCCTCTTGACAGACTTGCATCAAAGCACCCTATGTATTGTACAACTTCAAACCACTAATTAAACATATAGCTTGAAGTTTGTTTTTGCAACGCTTTTAAGCCAACAAATTTCCAGAGCTGATTTGTTGACATTTTAACAATGGGAGCTGTTCACACATTTTAAAATGAAAAATGCTGTTAAATTAACAAAAAGGCTATATGTGTGAAAGTGTGTGTAGACAACAGGAGTTCAGTGCAAATGTATACGTGTAGGTCAGGACAGACATCTTGGCTGTGTTTCGTCTTCCTCAGTAAGGGGGAGTGTCTCTGCAGACACAAAGAGATAGTGGTATTGCCCTGGGGCAGCTTTCAGATTGTATCATGTGTTTCTGAGGAATTGACCTGATTGGTGCCATAGTTGTGGCTTTAATCTCCTGACACACTACAGAGCGCCAGCGCCTACACCCTAGATTCAGAACAACCCTCTAACTTGATCACTATGTTTCAACCTAACAATGAAGTCGATGGCCTTAAATGGAAAGGCTGTGGTTTTTATGCACAATCTAGTGGGATTCAATTTCTTTGTCGTTCCATGGGTTTAGGAGTTCAATACAAATTATGCTCAATCGACAGCCCTTGGCTTAATGTTGATTACTAATTAATTCGGACTTGTTCCTCGTTCTTGAATGTTTTTTTTTAGAGGATTCAAATGCAGAAATGTTCATATTTTTATAAAAGCACTTACATTAATTATTCCGGTAAAACCTTTATTTAAAACTTGCATTGATTATTTGAGCTTTATGTTTGTTCTTGACATTTTAGGTGTTAAGCTGTCATTTATATTTATGCATTTGGCAGACACGGCTTACGTTGCATTCAAGGTACACATTTTATGAGTTCTTGCTTTCCCTGGAAATCGAACCCATGACTTTGGTGTTGCTAGTGCCATGCTCTAGTAAACAATTTTTTCACATTAAAATCATGTTAATGCACATATTGTTTATATCTCGTGACTATACTATTTAGTATTTAAAAGTTTACGAATTTGCCCGATTCACTCCCGTTGTAAGTGCCTCACTGTAAAGCCCAAAGTATGCTTTAGTTTTTACACATATGCATGACACAAATTTTGTCACCAGAATAGAATGCACAATACTGTACTCGCACTGTCCCGATTTTTGAAACCAATTACAGTGATATTGGTCACACATGCGTATTGAATTGGTTTTGCACTAATCAGTTGCCCAGGCCACTGTTTCACAATAGAAAACGAAACTAAAGAGATGAAATAACAACAACATAGCAGAGACTGCAACTACAACAGATGCCTGCATTGGCAACGTTTATGTAAGGGGGTTATGAGATAGAAGCAACTTTGGTTTAAAAGAGTAAAAATACATTTTATTGGTCATACATTCTGGAGAAAATAGAGCAGATGCTAGACAAAGTTGAAGCTCTCTAGGGTGCATGTGTCGGCCGCCTGTGTTCGCATACACCTTTGAAAGGCTGGGCATTCAGATGTACGCATATGCTAGCGTATACATACACAAACGAAGTATTCTTTTGGCTTAACCCAGATTTTTGCTTTTTTTATGCCACAAGTGTTGTCAATCAAGCTTAAAGGCATAGGGTAGTTCACTCAAAAATGGAAAATTGTCATAGCTCAAGTTGTTCCAAACCTGTATGAGTAAGAATGTTGATTACCAAATGGTAGCCATTGATTTCCATAGTAGG